CTAAATTGTTCATTTCGCATGAATTTGAAGCTAAATGGTTCATTTCGCATGAATTTGAAGCCAAATTGTTTGTTGAAAATCGCTATTTCGCATGAATTTGAATCGAAATCGTGTATCACGCTTGATATTGAAGTTAAATCGTTTGTTTCTCGTGAATTTAAATCTAAATCGTGTAATTCGCGTGAGTTTGAAGCTAATTTGTTCACTTCGCATGAATTTGAAGCCAAATCGTTTCTTGAAAATTGCTATTTCACACGAATTTTAATCGAAATGAAACTAAATCGTTTGATTCGCGTGGATTTAAAGCAAAATCGTGTAATTCGCATGAATTTGAAGCTAAATTGTTCATTTCGCATGTATTTGAAGCTAAATCGTTTGTTGAAAATCACTATTTCGAACGAATTTGAATCGCAATCGTGTATTTCGCATGATGTTGAAGTTAAATCATTTGTTTTGCGTGAACTTAAAGCTGAATCGTGTATTTCGCATGAATTTGATGCTAAATCATGTGTTTCGTATGAATTCGAAGCTGAATCATGTGGTTCGAATGAATTTGAAGCTGAATCACGTGTTTCGCATGAATTTGAAGATAAATCATGTGTCTTGCAAGTTTTTTAACCTAATTCATTTGTTTCGCATGAATTTGAAGCTAAATCATGTGTTTCGAATGAATTCGTAGCTAAATCATGTGGTTTGCATTAATTTGATGATAAATCACATGTTTCGCATGAATTTGAAGCTAAATCTTGTGTCTCACAATAATTAGGAGCAAATTCATATGTTTCGAATGAATTCGAAGCTAAATGAAGTGGTTCGAATGAATTCGAAGACAAATCATGTGATTCAAATGAATTCGAAGCTAAGTCATGTGATTCGAATGAATTCGATGCTAAATCATGTGCTTCGAATGAATTCGAAGCTAAATCCTGTGTTCAGCATGAATACGAAGCTAAATCACGTGTTTCGCGTTAATTTGAAGCTAAATCTCGTGTCTCACAGGAATATGAAGCTAATTCATGTGTTTTGAATGAATTCGAAGCTAAATCAGGTGATTCGAATGAATTCGAACCTAAATCATGTGATTTGAATGAATTCGAAACTATGTCACGTGTTTCGCATGAATTCGAAGCAGACTCATGTGTTTCGCATGAATTTGAAGCTAAATCATGTGTTTTGCATGAATTTGCAGCTGAATCAAGTGTTTCGCATGAACTTGAAGCTAAATCATGTCTCTCGGATGATTTTGAAGCTAAATCACGTGTTTCGCATGAATTTGAAGCTAAATCACGTGTTTCGCATGAATTTGAAACTAAATCATGTGTTTTGCATGAATTTAAAGCTAAATCATGTGAATCCCACGAATTTGTGGCTGAATCACGTGTTTCGCACGAATTTGAATCGTAAACGTGTATTTCGCATGATATTGAAGCGAAAACGTGTATTTCGCATCATATTGAAGCGAAAACGTGTATTTCGCATCATATTGAAGCTAAATCGTTTGTTTCGCATGGAATCGAAACTGAATCGTGCACTTCACATGGATTTGAAAATCATCTATTTCGACCGAATTTGTAGCGTAATAGTGTATTTCGCGTAGATTTAAGGATAAATCGTGTATTTCGCATGAATGTGAAGCTAAATTGTTCATTTCGCATGAATTTGAAGCTAAATGGTTCATTTCGCATGAATTTGAAGCCAAATTGTTTGTTGAAAATCGCTATTTCGCATGAATTTGAATCGAAAACGTGTATCTCGCTTGATATTGAAGTTAAGTCGTTTGTTTCGCATGAATATAAATCTAAATCGTGTAATTCGCGTGAATTTGAAGCTAATTTGTTCACTTCGCATGAATTTGAAGCCAAATCGTTTCTTGAAAATCGCTATTTCGCACGAATTTGAATCGAAATCGTGTATATCGCATGAATTCGAAGCTGAATCATGTGTTTCGTATGAATTCCAAGCTGAATCCTGTATTTCGCATGAATTTGATGCTTAGTCATGTGTTTCGCATGAATTCGAAGCTGAATCATGTGTTTCGAATGAATTCGTAGCTAAATCATGTGGTTTGCAATAATTTGATGATAAATCATGTGCTTCACATGAATTCGAAGCTGAATCACGTGTTTCGCATGAATTTGAAGCTGAATCACGTGTTTCGCATGAATTTGAAGCTAAATTGTTCATTTCGCATGTATTTGAAGCTAAATCGTTTGTTGAAAATCGCTATTACGAACGAATTTGAATCGCAATCGTGTATTTCGCATGATGTTGAAGTTAAATCGATTGTTTTGCGTGAACTTAAAGCTGAATCGTGTATTTCGCATGAATTTGATGCTAAATCATGTGTTTCGCATGAATTCGAAGCTGAATCATGTATTTCGCATGAATTCGAAGATAAATCATCTGTTTCGCATGAATTCGAAGCTGAATCACGTGGTTCGAATGAATTTGAAGCTGAATCACGTGTTTCGCATGAATTTGAAGATAAATCATGTGTCTCGCAAGTTTTTTAACCTAATTCATTTGTTTCGAATGAATTCGAAGCTAAATCATGCGTTTCGCATGAATTCGAAGCTAAAGCATGTGTTTCGCAAGAATTGAAAGCTAAATCAAATATTTCGCATGAATTTGAAGCTAAATCATGTGTTTCGC